TGTTATTTTATGCCAGTAAAAAAACATGGAGATTGATCAAGGAGACAACGTCCATTTGTAAACTAAATCTGATGGTTTCTGTGAATAATGTAATGTCGATGACATTACAAAAATTCACCCTATTATAACACACCACCCGCCAGTGCACGCTTCTGGTTCATCACAGAGACAGTGACTTGCATCTATAATTGTGTTAAATTAACCACGCTTTTAGAGATAAGAGCTAATTTAATATTATGCAGGTAATAGGATCGGGTAACCGAGGTTGCCACCGTCTAGATGATCGACACTTCTCTATGACCTACACAGGTCCGGAGTAGCTTAACAAAACTGTTTGATTTTGTTAATTCTATACAGCCTGTTTTGATTGAATTGCATACTGTTAGGGAGTTTATAGCAAATTAAGGTATTTCAGTTTTTGAACACGCAATCGATGCAACTAAAAAGAAAAACTGCACTGTCATATTGGTGCATGTTAGATCGATTTTTCTTCAGATTCTGCAAATTATGATCCTTTGAGTATTTGATAACAAAAAAATACGCCCGATGATTAAGATTCGACTCTCACCATTGGGGTCCCGAAAACGATGAAGAAGCTAAAAGTCGTGTTTAATGCTCTCTTGGCGTTATTTGAGGTGATATTTGAAATGAATTGCACATTCATATTGCCACTCTTTCTCCTATTCAAGCATATTCAGAATTTCATTATGAGATAAATTGTGCAATGGTAATGTGCAATTTATTTTGGAGTCCCACCTAAGATGAAGACAGGCAGTGGTGAAGCGTCCATGTAACCATTGTTACCATTGGTAACAGTTAAAAATCTTAAAAATAAATATTTATGACCAAGTACTGGGAAATAATTTCATTTATTTGTTTGCCAACAGCGATATGTAATAGTAATTCAGTAAATAGCAAATTAGCCCCACGAAAACAATGCGCCTATAGTGTCTAGCTTTTGCGAACACGACGAAGCTGACTTGGTTGTCGGTTGTTACCATTTTCATTTATGGATACACTTGGTAGTCCGTCGGGGACCTTCGGTACCGGCTCGTGTCTGATCGCGTACGCCCGAGTACGTGGGGCGCTGCGACTATTATTTTTTGATTTGGTTACTTACTTCTCACTCGTTCGTAGCCGTTTTGGTTACCGGCTGTAATGTGCGTGCAATTAAACATGGATGAGTGTCTCCTTGAATAATTTTTAAGAAAACAAAGGAGATCGTTGTTGGTAAAACAGGAATTACCGTTCATTTTGAAGGGGATGACTCTGACAATAGAGGAAATTACAGGGAATTGTTAACATTCATTGCCAAAAAAGATCAAAAATTTTCCGAACATCCAGAAACGTTGACTGCTTTTTCGCACTGCTTGAATTAGTCATAGCATAAGACTGCCCCAGACGCTCAGTCCAGGAATGTTTACCTTAATTTATAAATAGTTTAAATAAAATACCTAAGATAAGACAAAACATATTTGGGAGGTTCAAAATAAACTCTTTTAATAAGATTTTTCACATCTGGTTTTGGTAACAGTTTAGGAAAAGTCACGCGTCGCCACTGAAGACAGGAGAAAATCAAAACAATTTTGGGAAAATTCGGTCTATCTACGGAAATACTCTGAATTGACAATCTTTTCGAGTGCCATGATTTTAGTTACCTAAATGCGCAACTTTGCCTCCATGTAACCAACTTAGTGAGTTTTTTATCGTTTCCAAGACCCCAGTCACAATAGAATTTGAAAGAAAAAATAAAAAAAGTAGATTTTTTTTTATGAATGATGCATTGTTTTTTTTAGTGGTTTACACCAGAAATGTTATGGCATATATAGATACGGCAGGATTCCATTTAGGGCTTGGGTTTCAATGTGTAGGGGAGAGAGAGAGAGAGAGAGAAGCATGCAACACGTATGTTTGAAAGAGTGCCCCACACAAGTACAGGCACCACGCTGTCTAGTGACGACAGATATGAAGGTCGTGTACTAAAATCATCTTCAACTTAATAATGTAAGTTTTACCGTAGTTAATGGGAATGTCGTACCTGAAGAAATAATGATTTAAGATAATCTGATTTTGAGCCCGTCAAAAATAGAAGCGCATGAGCCTGAAGGGAAACGGGAAACTACATATAATTTGTGAAATAAGTATATTTATGAAAAAGCAGCATAATGTTCGACCTTCCACCGATGTCATAATTTACTTTTCCGTAAGTGCATTCTAGAAAAAGCTGTAGGGGGGCAAAACGATGGTGCCCTTCACAATCACTCTGACTACGACCATCAAGGGCATTTTAAGGTCAAACGAATATTTTCAAATAAAACCCGCACATTTTCACATCGGAATTGAAAAGACGAACAAACTTCCGAGCAAGACCTTGATCATGACTTTGACCATTGCATTCATGGCCATTTCAAGGTCAAATCAAGACATCGAAAATAATTTGCTCTAGCAGAAACTTCGGCAGCATAGTTGTGGGGTTTATGGTGATTACCCAAAGGTGAACTTGACCATTACCTTCAAAATTTAAAGGAGACTAAACAGAGGCAAGTTCGTGTTAAACATTAATGTTGTTTCAGAGTCGAGGTCACATTCGGCCATAAAGTCGAAGTCCATTTCCAGTTTAAAAATTAGAGTTTTCCTTTGGAAATTTTAACTTGACCTTGGAGATCATGGCCAAGGTCATGACCAAGGCCGCCTTTGAGCGATCCTCGAAAACCTCAAAATTGCTAGAGCACATTGTCTCCGATATATTGATTTGACCTTGAAATGGTCTTGAAAGCCAAGCCAAGGTAATATTAGGACAAGTAAAACTTGTTCCTGATTTCAGCGAAAAGGGAGGTTTCCATTTGAAAGTATTCACTTTACTTTGAAGTGATGCTGCCAAGTGACCATCATTTTGCCTCATCGAAACCCTGTATCTTTTCAGTGAGCAGTTTTCGAGATATTCAGGTGGGGAGATTAAAATGGGACCATGTGTATAAAAGCAAAAATGCTCAAAATAAGAGGAAGCTCCTGGAACAATCCTTATGTTTCCCTTTTATAAAAACCCATCCCTGTATGGTGGGTCATCAATAATGCATCATACGAACGGAACGGTTCCTTTTTATCCCTCGTCATCATTATCTCCATGGTTAATGACGTGTGTGTTGATTAGACGCGCGTAGCACGTTAGACGTGTTTTTTCGCGATTCTATCCCATCAGCCGTCACGTCGAGGAATAAATATTAATTTTCTAAAAATCCAGTATGGTATTTATTATACGGTGGCATCAATATATACAGAAAAACGGGAATTTTTCATTCTTGAGTTGTATGCCGAGCTAGCGGTCTGTCATGTTTTGTAATGCCCAGAGCGGTCAATGCTGGGGAAAGTAATGAATGTAACATAGACTGAGAGGCAGTATAATGTACAGAGCGTTTCAGCAGAAAAAATAGCGTCAAAAGCAAGTTGGCTCTGTTTCCTACGCATCGCTGCCATCAGCCCGTAAGGGATTGTGTTCGACACAAATTATCCCTTCTGAGAAAAAGCAAACATGTATAACGGAAAACTAACGAGTCTCTCTCTCCCCGTGAGAGAAAGTTCTGCGACAGCACATGATTGTTACCATGAATAATCCCGCGGGATGACGATATTGACTTTTACAGCATACAACCCACAACACGCATCGATTCGCGACTGTTGGATATATATATATATATATAAGTTGTAAGGGTAAATGTACGGGGACAGCTATGATTAGTGAAATAGGTGCATAGAGTTGCTGGAATTGGAGGCATACAAGTATACCCACAGCAAAAGATTGAGGTATACCCTACCCTGTAGCTCAAAACCCCCCATTTTTTAACCCCTAAAAATATTTTCCCGAAAATGATCGGGAGACTCTTAAATATCAAAAAACGCTTGAGCGGTCCCAATTTTTCTGTTTTTTAACAACTTTTCGACCACCACTAAAACGATTTTCGAAAACTAAAAAATGCTTTTTCGTTCTTGGCATAGTAGTGACCTTTTGTGAGAATTTCATCCATATCGGAGTGCTACCTACCAAGTCATAGACGGGCGAAGGATTAGCGGTTAAACAGACAGACAGACCAAAAGACAAACCGACCGACGGGAATCCAAAAAACAATAACTCATTTCCGAAATCTTTCGCGATTACAATTCTGCGTCGCCAGTACTCGTGGAAAGCAAACATGGCGGAATCTCGAAGTAAAAGCAAACACAGGGAAATCACTTACGCTCTTAAGGGATTTTAGCTAAGTCAAGGTCAAGGAATAACAATCCTAAATAGAAGCCATCTAGATGGCGGTGGATATTTTTTGATGTGGCCCGAACCTTCTAGATGACGCTGCGTAGTACACCGCTCTTGATGCACGGCAGCGTAACTCTGGTTGCCTTGGCGTCGATATTGCGAGAGCGCCTCATCGTTACTCAAGGTCCTAGTTACGAGGACGTTGCAATATAATTTTCGCTACTTCGCTCTTATTCAAAATCGTATTACTTTACGCTGATTTGTAACTGCCAAAATTTCAAGAAAATCTGCCATGTATGTTTTGACAACCATGCTTTTAATCAAACTTGAAGAGTACATTTTTAAGAAGGTTTTAAGATCGATTTTTTCTGTTGCCGTAACAAACATACTACGAGTATAAGTTGAGAGGCGTATGCTGATAAAAAAATGAGCCACCGGAGTTGACCACCAATATCGGGCCTTCCAAGCTAGTACCCATTGATAAGAGCAAGGTATGCAGTACTCCTACTTGCACAAGCACTATAAAGTACGACAATGTGGTTCTTTAACAGGATCCATGACCATACAAAACAAATATTGTTAATGAGTACCTTCAGAAGCGGTGGGCATAACAGAACCTTTGCTATGGGTTAACAGCCAGATATCTGTCATATTTTGCAACATCATTGCCTCTTACAGAACTTCTTTTTAGAGGATTGTTAGACAAATTATCGCAATATGAAGCTGTTATGAAACATCGACATTATTTTTTCAGAGCCATATGTTGTACACTCCACCTTAGAGGAAGCAATGTGTATGAGTACCGTTGCTTTACACTAGTTGCACTGCCTACGTGTTCGATTTATCGCTGAAGATTGAATGTGGAACCATTACGTTAATGGTACCGTACGGTTATTGTTTTAGTAGTTACATCTTTATTGAGGTAACGTTACAAGGTATACAGTTGTGATTACCATGTACAGCTTCAGTACAAACGTCATCGTAAATCGTACAGCAAATTAGAAGAATGTCTGTCTTCAAATGATATCATCACTATGTTTTCTTTACAACTGTTTGACTTGGCGGAACAAAAAAGTACTATATAAATCCCTGCCTCATACGAGCTTAGTTATTTCAATTTCAGCTTGAAAGTGATGGAGTCACTAGGTAACAAAAGGGTTGGTAAGCCTCTTTTCTGTATTATGACTATATGAAACTGGCAAATACATGGTGAGGAAAAAGACACTTGAACAGATGGAAGATTTGTGATAAGAACGAGCACAGTAAGGACTGCGCGATATTGAGTGTCTTTTTTATAGTTCTGCCACCTGAAGCTTAATTAAAAATCACCATACAGGAAATAATGACTTCCCACGCAACGCTGTCATCAGTTCGTATAGGATTGTTTGGCACAAGTTACGCCTTCGGAGAAAAATGTTAGCTAAGCTGATGAATAACAGAAAATTAAATGACCTACCTCTCCCCTTCAGATAAATCCTGCAGGTGCACATGATCCAGCCCAACGCAGTGAGGAAGCAATGGACATGTTTACCATTTTTTTATTAACTCAAATGAAAGTTTAGGAAAAATGAAACAAGGTGGTGAGAACATTATTAATTTATTTCTAAAAACAAAAAATACCGCCTATCAAAGTTTCGCCCCCCCAGAATATTTTTATTCTGTCTGTACGCTACGCGTGACGTCACACTTCAGTATCCAGTTGCAACGCCCGCGCCCGATTCTTGGGCCCGAGCCGACTCGATCTCCTAATCACATGTATAGGCACACATACAGCGGGACACATGGTAGGCTAAACGCCTTCCGCCCCAATTTGTTTAATTAGTTGACTGCATATACGATCGGTTATGAGCGAAGTAAGAAAAAAAGGTTATTATAAATACTGTAACGTTCCAAAATGTACGAGCACAACAATTACAACCCCCAATACACATTTTTTCTACGTACCTTCACATGCGGCGTCTATAATGGTACGAACCTACGCAGTACTCAATAGTTATCAACTGGAAACCACGTGTCCGAGCGCACAGGGGTGCCTTACCAATTGTCTATAGACTAATGACTAAAGACAGGCGCAGTCGAACTCCTACGCGACGAGACGCTGGGCACTAGAGAAGTGTGACGTCAGACGCGAACGAACGGGAGCAATGATTTCGCGCTATAATGCGCCAGATTTAAGTATCAATTTCTCTGACATTTATTGGCCGATTTCAATAATTTTTCACTGGCTAATTATATTTAGTCTATATTTTGCTGGTATGTCATTACGTATGCGATTCTGAATATCACGAAACTTCTCCATTGTCGACTGTGACGATGTTCGGCCACGGGCCACGTCACCGTATTGACACGCGACTGTTGGAAATATTATGTTTTTCTATGCTCAATAGGTGTTTATAATTACTGGAGTTAGATAGATATACCAACGTCAAAAATTGAGATATCTCTCCCAAACACTGCAACAACTAACCCCCCATTTTCAACACCTATAAAAATGTTTCCGAAAATGATCAGGAGCCTATAAAACGTCAAAAAAACAAAGATTAATTTTTATTTTTTTTCGTTTTTTCCTAGTCACTCCGCCGAGACTGGACCGATTTTCAAAAACTACAAAGCTTTTTCGTCCATCACATTCTGTGAAAATTTCAGAGACCAATATCGAAATTTTTCGCGATTACAATACTGCTTCGTCAGTATGCGTGGAAAATAAAAGTTGTATATAAAAGCTATAAGGTCTAATATACATGATGTGTTTTCTGTGTTCAGTCTCAGAAAAGTGCTTGCACATAAAGTTCTATTTTTCGAATGGAACATCTTAATGATTTCAATAAAAATATTGTTTTTATTATTGCAAAGTATATCATATTTGTGTTCATTATTTTAGTCAAAAACCTAAATTTGATGTATTATTTATTCATCTAGCCGCTTGTGCAATGTGGTATAAAGTTGAATATACAGGGTGGCCGATATGTAACTGACTGGTTTGTACCTTGAATATGTGTGAAATGTAATAAAATATGTCCATTAATTTTTCATCTTAATCTTTTATAGGAATTATGTATGAAATATAATATCAGACACATGTCCGCCTCTAGAAGCCGCGCAAACTTGACACCTCTTGATAACATTTTTCAATACTTTTTGATAGTTTTCGGGAAAAGTTTTGCACCATATCACGGTAGCGCTCGCCAGTGACAGTAAGAGAATTACCTGCAGAGTCTTCAAAGAAGTAAGGAACAGTGACACCTCCATACCAAACACCGCACCAAACCCTGACTCGACGAGGATTTTGGGATCGTTGATGGATGACACGAAGGTTCTCTAATACCCAGATACGACAATTCTGCTTATTAACAAATTCGTTCATATCGAAATGGATTTCGGTTATTATAGTTCTTGGGTTAACTGAGTTTTGTATGGCCGCAAATGCAAGTCTTTTTTTAAAATAGTGCATAATGACGGAGTACGAACAGTTCGAACACGGCCCGAACTTGGCAAGTCTTTAACTTCACCTATTTGATCAAATTTCTGTACCAACTGACGAACGGTGTTGACACTGGGCACATTATTTCCACCGGCATCTTGTAGTAGCTTCCGAATTCGTGCAATAATCGACTCATTTTTTAAGTAAAACGTTTCAACAATACGGACGCGTTGTGGGATTGTGTAGCGCTGTGCATGAGCTTCAAACAACCTACTGAAATGTGCATATCAAAAATGGCGCGCAATTTAAATCAGTCAGTTATATATTGGCTACCCTCTATATACGATTGAATGGGACACAATATTGTAGTCTTTGAATAAGGTTATTGAAATAAGTATAACAAGTCATGTATATTTGGAATCGTGGAAAAGCAAGTGTACGTACAAAAAGGAAAAACATCACAACATTTTCTTTTCTAAACTACCATGCAAAAAAATAAAGCTCAATTTACATCGGGGTACGCCGTACGTTCTGAAAATTGCCCTAGTACTTACTCGTAGTTTTTAAGCTTTTAATTGGGATAACCTACGTCTAGTGTCCTAAGGCAAGAAAGGTTATACCTGAAGTATAAGTGTAATAAAACAACTTTTGATTTTAATAGACCTTCATGTTTCAATGTGCAGTGTTCCTTAGCAAATAATTTATAGTTTTAATGATCAAGAGATGCTCTTATATACTTCAGAACAAAAAAGCGATTAAATGAGGGAAGGGAGCTTTTCTGATTTAACGACTTTTTCTTGGTGTATCTGGCGCTTCGGAAACTGACCACGCCGCGCACATAATCCATGAATTTTATCGCCATCGCTGTGCACTAGTGATAGCGCGGGCTACTTTGTAATGAAAGTATGAATATTTTAATTTACGATTCCCCTTTCAACCCGATGCGGAGCCGCCGGTTGAGGCTGCCATGCCGCCGCCTTCTTGATGTTTGATCTCTATAAAACGCCGCGGCACCGACCTTACCAAGCTTATTATAGGCCAGTCGATCTGTTATTAGTACAGCCTTAGCCGCTTGCTAGTTGTAGATAGCTTTGCTTACCCTGGATCAGACTTTATAAACGGGTTTTCCCACCCTTAAAATAACAATTACAAGCAGATGGCATATGTGAAATTATTGAGTGTGAGAGTGCCTATTTACTTTAAGCCTTTAACAACATAACATTTCTTTGCATTTTAGTACTTGGGTGTTAAAAAAAGGCTGTAAGTGGAGTTTCAGGATATCAAATAAGATGTCGAATTTGTATTGAGTCACTCATGATCACTTGACCTCATGTATGGAAATGCAAATCTACAAACTTGATCTCTAAATCGACTCTGAGGGCATTGTCTAGGTCATATTTAAAGTTATCGACAAACTGCTTCTCAGATATCCTGAAACCTTTATATAAAAAAATGCGTGGTTGATTAAATCACTTACGACCTTTTGGCCTCATGCATAAAAGTGCACTCTGTTTTAGAGCTTGATACAAATCTGCTGTCGAAGATAATGGTTATTTGAATTTGGAAACTTGACCTTAGAATAACCTCTGAGCTCATTGCCCATGTCATATTGGCAGTTATCGTCAAATTGCTTTTTTGATATCTTGAAACTTTACTTGAACCTTTGATTTTTTAGAATGCGTGGTTTTCAAGTTTTTTTAACAGTGAAACACAAAACAATTGAAGTATTGCGCCCTTTTGGTCACAATAAAAGTAAAAGTTAGAGTGTTATTCTAATTGTGACCCAAAATTTTATTTCTCATATATGTTCTGTGTCTAAGCGAGTTTTAGGAAGGAAGGGTTTCTTATAAAAAATAATATATATATATATATATCTGAAATTGGATGACTGATGGAAAAAATGCCAAAATTGCAAACTCTGAGCCTTTAGAGCATAATAAAGTACTGAAATAAAAAGAAACATGACGATGAAAAAACTAATGGTACTGTTGGTAAAAAAGTTTTATTATTGCATCTAGCTCCCAGCCGACGCCTCTTTCAGATTTTTCAGTCATCGTATGCGATTTAACATTAATTAGTTATTCCAGGAAGTTACATAAGGAGTTTAGCAAATGAATGATTAATACAAAATTCTTTGTATGTATATATATATATATATATATATATATATATATATTTATGTTCTACAAAATTTTTAATCTGTTTTTAACTTGTTCCTGTCACACATTTGTGTGTATTTTATATAATTTTGACCATTGTACCATCTATACAGCTTTCACCATGTTACTGGGCGTTTCCCTCATCCTGAACGTAAACAACAATTAGCAACATCCTCACATACTACTGTAAGTTAAGTCAATTTAAATTCATTTTACACTATTGTTGCTACTGTTATCAA